AATAAATTGCTTTGTATCTCTTCAATAACTGAAAACTGTTGCAACACTCGATAAAAGTCTGGATATATCAGCAAAATTTGACCAATCTTATTAAATATTCGAAATAACTGATAAAGATAATATGACATACTTCTAAAATCATGTCAATATCATCTCCATTACTTCTAAATAGAGCTTCCCGAAAATAATGTGTGTTTAAAATATATTAATACAAATTTTATTCCATTAGGTACAAAGTAAACACTATCCATAAACATTAAATTATCAAAGTAAAAAAACATAGTATCGATGTATCACTGAGATCATCTTTTAAGAAATACCGCAAATCTCAACAAAATAAAAAAAATTGCTTAAAATTATAAAAACCTTACATGTAGGAAAGAATGCAATCTACACACAAAAGTTGCAATTCTCAAGTTACAGGAATCGTATTTGAATCTTCCAATATCAAAGAGACAACAACCCATAAAAGTGCTTCAATAGTCTGTCATACTAATATCACACATACTAATATTATGTGATAACCAATAGCTTGGGAAAAACTGTATGAAAAATGAATTTAAATTACTGAAAAATAGACAAAAAATTTTGGAAGAACATTAAATAATGATCAAAAAAGTCACAGTTTTTTATACGAAAAATGATAAAACTGCTTTACTCTTGGTTTGTAACAAAAATGACTAACAATAAAGCCACCCAACATGATGCAGACAAGCAAGAAATAAGCAAGCAAATCCAGTGACCAACCAATTTCAGGAGGTCGCGCATGACGCATTGACGAAATGAACGAATCACGTACCCAACGACCGTAACTGAATTGCCGAAATTTTTCCTCCGCTGCAATACTATATACAACCACCGGCTGATCCGCTAAATAATATTCAGGCCACGGTCCACGGTCCAATAAAAACCGAAGAAAAACTAAAAGAGCACCAGCGGCAACTGTTGCAGAATGTGCTGAGCATAAATCTAAAACTGAAAAAAAAAAAAACTAGCAAGAAGAATGCACTAACTTCTCCTATATACTTATGTAAGTTTTTCCTTGTTTTAATAAAACAAGGAAAACATAGAAGAATAATTTAATTTTTGGAAGGTGAAAATAAATTCCTAAACATAAAAGAATAATTTAATTTTTTGCAGCTGCAATCAAGGGAAGGTGAACATAAATTTCTCCATCAGATCAAAAACAGGAAAACAGTAAAACTAGATCTAAATAGATCTAAATACTGTTTTTTTGACTAGACTAGATCTAAATTCGATGAACTTAAAAACTTTGGATTTTTCAATTTTCGCTTTCCTTCCAAATCTACTATCTAAAGCTCATAATAGTAACTGTGGAAGGTAGCATCCGAATCAGAATCTGTTTATGTGCTTTCAACTTTCCTATGTTACGGATAAATAGTAGCATTGATAAGAAATGATTTTATTGTAGAGCACAATTTGATTTTCATCCAGACTTTAATATTTAGAACTAGTTAAAAACAGTCATATCAAATACCAGGATATAATGAACGCATACCATACGAAGTAGTCACATCACCGATCATGCCATCTCCTTTGTCATTCATGAAACAACCCGACGTAGGATTCTGCCAACTTAATATAGATGCAAAAAAATGAAGCGATGAAAGCTCAACGAAACCAAACTGACCACATGTGAAAACTGAAATGTAAAACTAAATACCATAATTTTCGGTATGTTACAATTATAAAAGGAAATTCTCTTCTTATTTTTGATTTAACCGTTTAAAATTAGGATTGAAACTTTTTAGAAGTCTGGCAAATGATCAAAAACAGTTAGTGAAGTTACAATTTTATTGGTTGGCTTACTTAGCATTAATGCATTGTAAGTGTAACAAGAAAATAAAAATCAAAGCCCATAACATAACAACAATAATAACAAACAAATACTTTGTTCCATCAGCAAATCTCGCTCATCGTAATTAAGCTTAGCCGCAATCCTTGGATTTCGTAACAAAATGTTCAATTCATCAATCATATTTGTGCAATACTCTGTGAGAACAGATGTAATTGTTTGATTCTTTGTCAAAACGACAAAGTTAGAGAGCATAAAATTGCAAGGAGTCTGAAATTTCAATATATTTCAAATCATCAGAGTAAAATAAAAAGATAAGTCAAGAAACAAAAGAATAAAATGAATTTTCTACTCTTTTCAGAGAAAAACCGACAGCCTGTTTCGGAAACGATAGGAGGAAGTGAATGGTTGATTGGCTAACAACTTTAAATGTTCTAGTATGGGAAAATTTAAAGAAGGTTCAACTTTTCTATTTTTTCTGCTTATGAAGGAAGAAAATAAACAGACTCAATGTCTAAATAATCTAAAGAAGTTTAATATAAAAATACCTGAAGAGCGATAGCAATATATAATATTTGATGTGTCAACTGATATCTCGTAAAACCCCGTCGGTCAACCATTCGCTTCATACAGTCATTACTTAAATGGCAACTGTAAGTCTTCGTCATTGAATTAGAACTCGCCAAAAGTAATTCAGTGAAACATCTGAAAACGACTGTTAGGAATCAAAAACGGTTCCAGATATTAAAAAATTTGATGAACTTTCCTTGCAGTTCTTAAAAAGTGAAACCTAACAAAAAATGAAACCTAGTCATTTGTCAAAAACATCTGTTATAAGATTATGTCTCAGAAAAAAAAATTGCGCTGATGTCATTGCAAAATATCTTCAAGACTTTTTATCCTTGTTCTTTTCGAACTCTATGCCAAAAAACTTGAACTTATTTTTCAAAAACAAAAAAAAGAACTGTTGCAAAAAAATATTCAATAAAAGTAAACCTGTTGCTTTGTTTTTCTGCAAGCAAAATAGGAGGAGGAGAATCTCTATCACTCTTGCTAACTTTTAGTTGTTTTTCTTTCCATCTCAACCTTTCATCGGTACGCTGCGGTGTAAAATTCATTCTATATGGATGATAGAGAAGAAACTGATACTGAAAAATTAATTATTTCAATTTTTATCACAGATTTCATTTCAGCATCCGTTGAATAAATGCATTTGATATACGTTTCTTATATGTGAAACAGCATGTTTATCAAACCATGTGTCAATTAACTTCACATGATGGAGTCATCTAATCATAAACCTTTTACATTTTAAAACAATCAAAGCATTACATGTAACTTTGACCACATCCGATCAGTATATATGAAACAAATATATCAAATTATTAAAAAACAAAGCAAAATTTAACCTGATTAAAATATTCCTTATCTCGATTGGCAACATACGGTAAAGCTTTATTTGCAATCACGCCAGCCATTAAGCTTAGATTACCTATTTCATTTGTGATTTCTGAATCGATATCATCACCTACATTTTCCTGTATACTTTTTAGATGACCTGTAATTTACATAGTACTGAAGAGGTTTTTAAGTAAATCAAAATTTAGATGCAAATAACTAAAATCGAAAAAAAATTCAATTTATTGGACACCAGAAATGCTATAAATCCTGAGCGACCAATCCATTAATCCCTTGTGAAATGATTTCTCGAGTATCAGATCTCTGTCCTCAAAATGCTCCATTAAAATAATTTCTACTTTGTCTTCCCAATCATCAAACAATCCTCGTTCTAATCAAAAGCTAAAAAGTTAATTATAAAAAAGCCGACCTTCAATAATTCGTAAACCAAATAAACCATCAACATCGAGGTTCTTGTAGTAATCATTGTAGTATTTTTCCAGCCCATATAAGGCATTTAGAACTAAAGCAATTAGTCGAGCGCTATCCCAACTCCACTGTGTTGACACCATTATCAAATTTCATCTTCTACTTCATTTTTCATACATGTTTAATCCACTCAATTTTGAGCTGGAAACTAGATATAAAATAAACTAGTGCAGATCATAGCAAGTCTTCTTTCGTCGAAAAAATTCGAATAGTAAAACCCGTCAACGTTCGAATATTTAACGTTAATTCCTCCTTATAAATGAATGCATAAAAAAGGTAAGATCTGATGTAGGAGAAAATTTACCAAAATCCTGGTACCGAAACTACAAGATATAAACGATGTGCTATAGCATCCGTTTAATAAGGAATATTCCCAGTAAAAACAATAATTCATGCATCTTCAAGAGAAGGGTGAAAAAAGAAAGAACATATATTTTTATTAAGGACACTCATAAAATAGAATGAAAACAAACATGGATTGTAATATTTTTTCTGCATCCAAGTTATTAAAGAAAAACAACTGAAAAAGAGAAGATAAAAATATTTTAAATAAAAATTAAACTAGGTCTAATTTGCTTTTGCATTGAAATTGGAGTGAGTCCTTTGAGATGAAAAAATAGAGTGAAAAACCATGTATCATTAAACTAAAACAAAAATAATCAATCGGATAAGCACTGATAAATTATCAACATCATAACCATAAACAACGATAAGAATAATTATAAGATCGCAATTTCAATGTTGCATTTCACTAATTTCCTCAGCTCCACCAACCCACAATACATTGTTGCATCTGAAATAATTGATTTGAAACATAAACCGCATGGATTTCTGCCTCTTTATTCCTTCATTCTACAAGAATAATGGATGCTTCCATTGAACAAATATCACAGCCTAGTTTTCTCGAAAATCTACTTAAGCAAACCTTCTTTTTGAAATAAGTTTTCAAAAAGAAAATACTTCAACATAACATAAATCTAAAAAAACCTGATCAAAACTTCTCCAACATCACCAGTATGTCGACCATCAATATATTCTTCAGCATTAGCTAACTGCAGGTTCATGTAACCATCTACAGATACCAAGTACCCTGAAATTATTCTTTATTCTTACTATTTTTCCTAGCATAAAGTGATCAGTAAGGTTCAGTAATAAAAGTTGTGCATATCATTTATTAGAGAATGAATTTTTCATAGTATTAAGACTGAATCTGACACACTATTACTATCTATCCGCCCTCTTTAAAGTATGTAAAACATAGCAACTGATTCTACGACTTGATTTTGTCACATAAATTTTACATCATATCGAGCAGGATATATGAGATAGGATTCAATTAATGGAAAGCATTCACCTTTGTATTCCATGCCCCACTTTAGTTTGCAAACAACTGGTTTGCCGGTTAGTCCATTCAGAAACGGTTTTGGATTAACTGGTTGTAATGTTGTCATCGTATTACCTGTAGAGCAGTCATTATTAGGTGCAATATTTCGTACAGTGAAATGAGTCACTTCTTGGCTCATCAAATAGCTTCGAGGAAGTTAGAAAATTTCTAGATTCCATACTACAAATTTGTAAGTTGATAAGATTTATTCCCTGTACCGTATCCCACGTATGTACCTCTATTACTTATTGGTCTTCATTATATTCGTATTATCTATGGTCTCCATCATGAATTTTTACCGAGTTTTTCCACTACTCATATTTTCCGATCTTTTAATTATTCAATTATCTCTTAGCATCAATAAATCTGATTATCCTCTTTTCGACTAACACTTTCAAGTCGTATTCAAACTTTTCATCTATCCATATCCGTAAATCTTAGGGAGAAAATTTTTTAATTTCATTTCCTATCATACTTCTCAGTTTATGCTTTACATGATTCATATGTAACATTTTATATTTGTGTCATTCGAAGCTTCTACATTTATTA